CCCAGCAGAGTGGAGTAGGTGACAGGTGAGAGGATGCTGGTATTGACTCAACGAGGTAAAGCAACACAAGGGGAGATGCACATGGGTTCAGTGGATGTTTGACCAGCTTCTTTAAATGCTTGTTTGAAGCCACAGTGGGCGATCTGTGCTATAAGCTCCCTCGCATGTTGGCATAGTAACAAGTTGCAGTTATCCAAATGATCCTTTAATTGTGACACATCACATTAAAACCGACCCGTTCTTTCATATGTTAGGAGGTATATTGCTATGGGGGGATTTTTCTACTTTGAATCTAACAGCCCCTTTCCACTAAGTATTCATCCCAGACCAATGCTTGATCACGGGCCTGATTGAGCAATGTACAGAACTAAACCCAAGTCAATATAAAAAAAAAAACAATATATTCAGCAGCTCCCTTCCATCTCCTTACATGTTCTGTAGCAGCTTGTTAATAAGCTTTTCACTGAAAAGTGCTTTTATTATTACAATTTTTACCTTTTTGTTGGAACCGCAATGTTTCACTTGATAACCACAGTATGAGCATCTGAGTGCCAGTCATAGAGCTTGTTCATGCTAAGTGAATCAAAAGTTGGGTAGGAGAAGTCATCTTAAGAAGGTGGTATGTAGAGAAACATTTAGGTGAAGTTTAATTCAATTTATATAGTGCCAAAACACAACAAATGTCATCTCTTGGCACCTTAAAAAAATACACTACAATTCATTCATTTTCTATACCACTTATACTTACACACAGAGATAAACAACCACACACACACACTTGCTTCTAGCGGCAATTTAGAATGTCCAGTTAACCGTATATGAATGTTTTTGGACGGCGGAGGAAGCCAGAGTACTCTGAAAGAACTCACACAGACACAGGGAGAACATGCAAACTGCAAACAGAAAGGTCTTGCTTCCCCCGGGGACTAGAACCGGGAACCCTCATGCTGTGAAGCTAATTAGATTACAATCATGAGCCTATCATCCATCCATCCTTTATCAATACCACTTATTCCCTAATGGGGTCGTAGGGGGAACAGGGACCTATCCCAGTGGTCAGTGGGGGGGTACACCCTGGATGGTCCATCAGTCCATTGCAGAGCCACACAGAGACACACAACCGGACAAACAACCACTCACATTCACTCCTAAGGGCAATTTGGAATGTCCAATCAACCTAACATGCAGGTTTTTGGACTGTGGGAGGAAGCCGGAGAACCCGGAGAGAACCCACAGGGAGAACATACACACAGAAAGGTCCTGGTTTTCCCGGGACTCGAACCCAGAACCCTCTTCATGTGAGGCGACTGTGCTAACCAACACACCACCGTGCTCCCATGAGCCAGTCATTTCCAGTTAATTGAATATCAATTGCATCCAATTCATACAGAGCCAATTAAAAAGAAAGCTTTCCTTTCTGGTTAAACCAACAGATGGCTGAAAATCATCATCCTGAGTGTGCATTTCTGTCAGCAAATGGAGAAGAAAAAATGTTGCACCGCCTCCAATGTCTAAATGTTGTTGTTATAAAGTACATTTATACATTTTTAAGTCAAAAGACATGATGTATTCATGCCCTCTGTGCCTCCACCATAACCAAAGAAGAAAGGGCAGAAACTGATCTGCGTATGGTTGTCGTACATATAGCTTGAAGATTTTCAATCTTGTGCAGAATAGTGGATGACTGTTGGTTCGATTCTGTGTTAATCTTTCGGTGGTATCATTATGCTCTGCCGTTGTGATCGCCCCTGCATCCTAACTAAAAAGACTTTGCCATGACATTGTCCAACCACAATAGCTGGATACCGCAGTATTTCCGCACTATCAATTATGGTTGCACACAGGTGCGCGTACCCAACGTTTTACAATCACAACGGCTCTGACCGAACGCCAAGTCGTTTGTCCTTTCTATTGTCCTCGGCCCTTGACAGACAATAACCAGCTCCACTGACCCACAGAAATCATGTCTTTGTGAGCAGCGAGTGAGTGTGCAGTGGGTGGATTTTACGTTGTGGGTCTGTGTGTCTATGTAGGTCTATCTTGGGCACAAAGCTCCTCATTGTTAGAGCGTGAACGGCGGCACAGCGGACAGCAGCACGTGGGATCCTTCTATAGCTATCGTCCTTTCTTTCACCTCCCACCTTTCTCGCTTCTTTTATTTCCCCCCCCAACGAGTGTCGAAATATACTTCTATATATAATATATATTTGTGTTATTAGTATGACGTACCTTCGTCAAGCTGCGTCAGAAGCCATAGACGTGAAAAAAGCCACATGGCGCGATCGTTTTAATGCCTAATCAACTTTATAGTTGCAAAAAGGAAGTGGTGCCAGTGGGCACGAAGATGAGTAAAGAGTCATCCTAACACGTTTTTAGAAAAGAAAAACATATGGGCATTAACTACGGTGCCACAGGTGGTAATGAGTCCTATCATCAAACACTAACCATAGGCAAAATACTTAGTTATTTTCTTTCATCAGTGACTAAAATAGTGTTGATTTCAAAGGTTACAAGTAAAATATTGTTAATTGCCTCAAGTGAATTAATGCAAATATCGTATGAGTGTAAGACTATAGTATAATATCAGACTAAAGAGCCTTTACTGGGCATGATTGGGGACAAATGCTCCATTTATCATCTGCCATTTCTGCTGTCCCTTTTTAAGGTTACAGGAAGGCATTTTCAGCACACTTCAAAGCTTTTCAATGAATTTGGTTGGAAACTGCGGCCTCCATCTGCATTTCATGTTTGGGTTAACCCAAATATCCTCCAGTGCGACGATAAAGAAACATTTTTGGCATTCATTGTTTTCTGCAAAGAGACCTTTGCGTCATACTTTTTTTTTTTACCCGAATAACACGTCTCCATCCAAACTGGCAATCGTGTTGTTCGATCACACATCACACCTTTCGCAGGCTCTGTGTCTCCAGAGCAAGAAGCAGCAGTGTTTTACTTGTGGTTTGTACACACTTGTACACACAGCGTTGGGTTATTTCTGTTCATTTGAAGCAAACTGATCCGGGAAGAGTTCTACATTTGCTTCCCCTGTTTGTAGAAAATGAATCCACACAGACCACAGATTATCTGGGAAAGGTGTCAAATATCAGCCCTGGGTTTTAGTCCTTTAGTGGGGTTCTTCCTGGCCATTTGTTTGTGAAGCATTTTGTAGCTCAGTGCACAGGATATGATACATGCCGATATAATGAAAAGAGCTATTTACGAATTACTAGTATTTCAATAACCTCGTGAGTTTAAGAATACAGAATTTTGAGGGGCATTAATAGAATTTGGATTTTGCCCATGCATATCTCTGCAGTTGTAGGAGGAACATGTGCCATCTGCCATCCTCTGTCAAACAATGATGACAATATCGATGGGATATTTATGTGCTCATGCACACATCCCATTCCAAATATTGTCTTCTACAGATTACTGCCAATATTGTACATGAGACTGCAGTTTCTTTTGCAATCTTCTGCTCAAAAACAGCTGACTGTGGAGGCAAAAAAAAGAAAAACCTCCTTGGAAAAAATAAATCTCTTCCACATAGGACTCCGTTGTTCCACACTGGCGATCTCAGCATGAACGTGAGTGCCTGCAACACTCTGCCATTTCCACTGGCTTTTAGTAAGCGGCATCTGTGGCTTTTTTTGGACCCGCCGCAAACAGCTTAACTCAAACTCAGTGAAGTCGCCGCTGTCTCCGGAAGGATCCGTAAACCTTTGAGGTATCAGCACTAAATCAGATGACAAGTGGAGCAGATAACACGGATGGGAGCGTTTCGTCGCCTGTGGGAAAGAACAAAATGATGGAAAAGAGACGTCGATAGTGCCGACACACACACACACACACACACACACACACACACACATACACACACTACAAGTGCGCTTTTACTAGTGATACGATCTGTCCCCAAGGTGCGCTCAGGGGTCCTGCTGTCATTGTCTGATCTTGGAGTTACCAACAGGACAGACATATGCCCCAGGAATGGGAATGGGAAGGTTGAGCGATGTGCCTTTGTGTGGAATAGGGATGACTCACATGACCAGGAACAGTTTGGAGACGGACAGAGCAGGGAGCAAGGAGAGCAAGGAGAGCCTCATGGTCCATTTTCAGATCAAGCCAGGCTCTCCCTGAATTACACATCTCTGTGCCATGGGACAGATTCCTTTAAAACAACTTTTAAAAGCATGCAGTAATGAGATTTCTGACCTGTCTAAGAGCTTGGAGGAGATCTCACCCCTGACATTTAAAGACTACGAACATCTCTGGTGGAAAAACAACAAACAAAAACGTACTCACTGAACCACAGAGATGCTAATACTCTGTCACGTCACATGATTTCAGGAATGTTGTCACAAAAGGATGCAATTTGACATTATGGAAGTTAGTTAACCCTTTCATGCACAGAGGCCACTACAGTGGACAGCTATTTAAAAGCCATTTTCTTGTGTGTATTTTGGTTTTTATGTTTGAAATGAACACTGGTGCATCATGCATTAAACATTTTAAAATGTCCACAATAATATGCTGTTAAAGAAGAGCTGAGAAAGATTTAAATTAATCAAGAGGTTGAATGAGCTGGAGTGAGAAAAGGGATGAAATGGTACTGAATACAGGATGAGAGTTACATGCCAAGTTCTGTGTTCATGTGTCAAAATATGTTCACATTGTAACATATAGTATTTCATTAGTAAGGCATTTTAAAACATGCAGTGTTTGTGGACATCTGGAGAAATCCATGAATGAACACCCCCCCCCCACCAAAAAAAAGAGACTTTTTAAAAAATGTTTTCAAAAACACTGGGAAAATCCTGACTGAAATGATCATAATTCATGTATGAAAGGGTTAAAAGAAACAAACCAGGGAAATAAACCCATCCTGAGAAAACAAGTTTTGAACCGATTAAACAAAGGCATGACAAGTGAAGCAATTGCTTGTTTGAGGATCAAATTGCGTCTCTATCGAGTCACCTCCAGTTTGATTCCTGCAGACCATGAACGAGGAGCGTCTCGGATTCCTGCTGGCTCTAAATAATGAATTCATATCAGTGAATGGGAGAGCTGAGCAGCTGAGCCCCGTCCTTTCTGAAGCAATCTGCCGCGGGAGCCAATCAGATCCCGTTTCATCTTGTCCGACACTTCCTACAGGCCCCGCCTCCTCCCCTCGGTGCATATATACCGTGTGAACGTCAGCCTCACAACACACACAGACACACATACTCACACACGCGTGCCTGCTCCACGCAGGCTGCTCCGAAAGCATTCCCCCACACTGATGGGCAGAGGATGAAGGGTGAGTGCTTCATGCTTGCGGCTGATTTGCGTGATCTGTTTAGTTTTGTGTGTGTGTGTCTTTTTAACTGTTTCAGTCTGGAACGCAGCTCTTGCATTGGTCCAGTTGTGTTTTATGTTCCCACATTGTCCTGAATTGTTCCTCCATCCCCCCCTGCTCTGTGTTTTTTCAGCTCCTCTCTCTCCATCCCTCCGGCTGCAGGCGCACGCCGGCGGCAGGTCTTGAGAGCGCCGGCGTCTCTGACATTGGCAGCGGCTTGAGAGAGATCTCCCCCCTACCACCCTCCCTTCGAAACGTCACAAGGGGGCTGTGCAGAGGCATTCGCCGGACGCTCGCCTCTCAGGGGGGCAGCAGCATGGGCTGCTCCTCGGGCCGCCAGCCCCCGGCCTCGGCCCTCCACCCGGACCTGGACTTCGGCAACGGCAGCGAGGCCAACACCTCGCCCCCGGACCCGGACAACCAGAACCCGAGCCTGAACGAGTGCGGAGACTCCGGGGAAGGGGAGGAAAGCCTGGAGAGGGTGGAGAGGGGACAGGCCAAGCCCCCGGAGTCCCTCCCCACCTTGGAGAGGCTGGCGCAGGCCACGGGGGGCACGGAGAAGTCCTGGTACCGCTGCGTGTTCCCGTTCGGCGTGATCTCGCTGGTCATCGGGATGGCCGGCACCGGGGTGACGTTCACCTTCAACACGCTGCTCCAGACCAAGGTGGTGTCGGTGGCGCTGCTGTGCGCCGGCGTGACCATGCTGCTGGTGGCCGCTCTGTGCTGGAGGGCCCACAGACTGAGGAAGAGGAAAAAGAAGGAGAACGGATTCTTCACCGCCGACCCCGGCACTTTGTGACGGAGTCGCTTAGTTCTAGAGGGACCACCCTGATTTGGAGTGAAGTAGCAGAAACAAGGCTGGAGCGTAGGCTAAGGGGGTGATTAAGCGTTTTCTGTGCTCACTGTTCGGGTCTCTGTTGCGATGGAACTCTGTTAAAGTTTCGACATTCGGCATGTGTATTGCCTTCAGCAAAGGAACCAACTCTATCCTAAGCAGATACACGGGGTAAAATAAGCGCCCCACACTGAAAAACGACCCCATGTCAGAAGTTTTTTGATTGCCGTTTTGGGTTTACATGAAGATCCGTCTGAGTTTAGAGCCCAGATCCTGTTGTAGATTAGTGTTTCTGCCAGCTGAGCGCAGGAGTGATTGCTCATGAATAGCTGTTACAGACCTCCTTAGCCTCCCCTGCAGAGTCAAGGAGAAGGAGGTGAGTCTGTGTGGGTAGGGAAAAGTTACCCTCCAAGCTGGTCCATCTGGATTAGCGGCGGTCATAGCAGGACTATTTACCAAATCGTCAGATGTTTGTGTGTCCGCACGCCAGTGTAACCATGTAACTGCTTGAGAAGGAGACGAGAGTTTTTCTGAGGTAGTCTGATCAAAGAGGGGTTCATTATGGCAGCAGCACCTCACCGCTAAGTAAATCAACCTTTTCTTTTCGCTCTAGAAAAAGGTGATTTTCCGCAAATTATTTCCAGTCTGCGGCTGGTCAAGAGCTGTTGCTCATTAGGTGAGAGGGCCGGGCAGTAGAGAGGGGTTGTGCGTGTGAAGGATCTGTGGAGTGAGGCACGAAAACCATCATATTTCAGTCGAGATTGATCCACAAACATTAACATTTGTCCCTCCTGCCACAGATCTTTCCGGAGAGCCACGTAAATAGATTTTCATCCCTTCGCATGTGAAATAGCTTCCCCTCAGCGGGTCCATGCTGTTATGATTCATACACTGTTTGGCAAGGAAATCCCGCTATAGACGAGTCGGCGAGCACAGACCAATAAAGAAAGAGTGTGTAACGGCCATGTCCTTGCCTCGCTGATTTACCCTCCGCTTGGATCGGGCTGAACCGAACAAAGACGGCATGGTCCAACGCTGTGAGCACCACGGAAAAATCAATGCTTTCCTCTCAACTCACAGGTTGACGGAAAGCTCTAAACATTTATGCGCGAAAAAACTTCAAACTTCTTTACCAATCAGCTGGGCTTAGCGGAGTGGTTCCTGTTGCGGAAAGCATGATGTCATGTTGAATTTGTTACATTGTTATTACACTAATCACACCTATTACAAAGACATATCAGCTATCAACGTTTGCTTTTCTTTTTCTTTTCTTTTTACATAAGAACAATAAACTTATTTGTCTTTGTCGTGGAGCCAACATGTAGCATGCAAGCTAACCAGAGTAGTCCCTGTTTAAACATTAAAACCAGGTTATGAGGGAATGAAGAAGACCCAGCAGCTTCATGTCAGCTGTAGTGATGTGCTTTTTGTCATGTGAGGACTTTTATCTTTAAGAGAAACTTGTTTACTGAGCATTACTTTAGGGTCATCTTTTTGCATCATGTCACTGAACGTCTCATGCGGTGCAGGATCTTCTGAAGTGTGTGTGTCTGTGTGTGTGTGTGTGTGTGTACGAGTGCGCATCACTTCTAGATCCCCGTCACTTTGCACCTTCCTCCAAAACTTTTGTCCGGTCGCACTCGCTACTTTTATGTTTTTTTTGCGTATCAAACCAGAGATGATTGAACAAATTCTGCTCCCAGCACTGATGTAACTCATAATGTGTGCTGATGTATTTTTTTTTTCTTTTCCCTGAAATACTGAGTATCTCTCTGAATGACATATCATGCATTTACTGTCGATACTGTGTCTAAAAGTGTAGCCGCATTTCTGAATGTACCTCTATCAGAGTGTCTTATTATTTTCCTTGTACAGAGTGTAAAGACTATTTAAGTATATTCTATTTTTGGTAGACAGAGATTCAGCCTTCTTGTAAACTATCTATTCAAGGCACTTGCCGAAACAGATTTTAATCTCAGTTCAACCCGCTGTTTCGTCGTAATGATTTAAACTGTGATGCCGTTGAGTGTACAATACACTTCATTCCAAAATGAGAATCTGCCATTTGAATTTAATGTCACACTTTATATCAATGGAGCACATGTTTAATAACAATTAATTAGTAAGATTATTGACAAATTTATTTTTAAGACAGAAATCAGTTGTTGTTTTTTTTGTTTTTTTAATGGTACTTATTGGTGATGTAATTGGTTGTGGTTAATTTACTTAGAATTGATCTGTTTGGTTGTGTTTATCTCTTGAGTGCCTTTTACATGCTACAAAAATATACAGTATTTATGTAGGCTGTGTTGGCCTCCTGGTGCCAATATCAAAGTAGCAGAGTCAGACGTTGTGCCGTTTTTTTAAGCAAGGTTCAGTCTGTGTAAATGGTCTGCATGAAGCTACTTAAAGTTTGACATGGTTCCTTTGGTAAACTTGTCAGAAATGCCAAAAAAGTTGATCCAGACTCTTATTTTTATGCTTCTTCAAAATGTCTGTAAAATAGTACATTTTTTCTTGTTGACTGTTTCGGAAGCAATGGATTAAATGCAAAAGTGGATTTTCGGAAATAAGGGTCTTTGTTAGCCATTTATTTGAATTGTCTTGGGGGAAAGCTCATTTTAATGCTTTGCAGGTCTGAGTTTTGTGCCATTTTAAACCATCGACGGAGCTACAGCCAAATCTTGTGTTTGCGCAGTAAAAAATTTGACTGGCACAATGAGATATTCATAACAAAGGGAAAATATCTCCCTGATCCTCCACAGATATTCAGAATAGATTCGCGTAAAGCTCTAACAGCTCACAAACAACGTTGCGAAGGAGAATCGCGGAGGTGCTGTTGCTCCCTTGAACTGCACGAGAGCTAATTAACTCCAAATGCTCTAATGCTGAACTCACTCTCAATTGGCTGCCGCATCAACAACCTATTCACAACGGTCCAAAAAAAAAACTAAAAGAACAGCAGAGCGTTTGAAGAGGAAATCGCAGGGATGGGTTTCCTCCTCAAAGACCTCCTCTGTGTGTCAGGCACCCTCTAACACGGCAGCAGCTTTCATCCTGAGCTGCATCTGCTGCAGGTGTCTTCTGAACAGATACCTCAGATTCTTTTTTACGAGGAGCCGGGATGAATTCCAAGTTTATCCCAGCTGTACATGGGTAATAATTGGGTTCTTTTTTTCTTAAATGGATATAAGCAGCAGTTGGCTTGTACATACTCTGCAAGACAGAGTTTGCCATGACTGTTCTGCTTCCAACAATAATCAGATCAGCCTCAACACACTTGAAAAAAACATCCACAGCTAGAATAAGCTGATATTTCTTCACCTATTTATATGACAGGTAAAAAGAAAAAGAAACAGCACAACTATTACTGGATCTGCACCGCCCTTCGGGTCATGTGTGAGAACCAATTTTTTTTTGGCACCAGAAAGCAAATGTTGTTATGTTGTGATTCAAATCAATACTGTATAGATTGTACCCAAAAAAACATTTGTTTTACAGCTCTGGAGGTTAAAGCACAAAAGAAATTGTGCTGCTGGTTCTGTGTCTTCATCATTGGCCTTGTTCCATTTTTCACCCTTTTTTCTTTTGGTGGCTAAATCTCTCTTTTTGTGGTTTGTTTTTATTCAATTCTGAGAAGTCAGTCAACTAAAACTGGGATTGATGAAGAGTTACACCATTTTAGAGGTGCAGGTTTTAGATGGTAGTTTAATATCAATTGAAGCACAGCTTAAAGTCCTTCATTCTTTAAATAAAGTCTCCACCCACCCGACAAGATATTTTGTTAATAACTGTGTCGGCAAACCAATTAAACTCCATTACAATACAGAACTATGTGCCTGTGTTATTCCATTGGGTGCAATTTGGATTACACTCACACATCAAATGTGATTTTAGCCAAGTAGAGCGACTTGAAAGACAGAAAATATTGCAGCAAAAGTTCTTCATTAATCATTAAACTTAATCCTTAAAATGCTGGTGTGTTAGTTGCTAGGAGCTAATTGCAGCAAACCCGAAGAAGCCTGTGATCGAACATGAACCACAGCAATGCGTTTTGTGGGGCGGAAGGATTGTGGCTTTTATTGATGAGCTGCAGCTTTTTTCCACAATCAGCCTTAGAGACTCCAGCCCAAGTTAAGCCCTCCCTAGCAGCTTAAAGTCTGTTTGGCTTTTTCTTGTAGACAGTGTGTGGGGCATTTTCCGTCTTAACTGTGCTTTTATTTGCCAAAAATGATCCACTTAACATCAGATCTTTGGTTAGAATCTTGCGACCAGCGTTGATAATGCCCAAAAAATGGTAAGCTCTGAAGTATTGCTACCATTTTTCTACTATTTCCAACGTTTTTGTATGTTTTTGTTCATGTAAAAAAAATAATTTCTGAGCTTCTCCTCGAGTTTGTATGAATATGTGAGCATTGTTATAGAGCTATCTTCAGATTGTAAACTGTTTATACCCCAGTTTGAGGGAAGAGTGTGATTTCTCGTTTTTTTTGTTTAGTTTTTTTTACTATAAAAGTCATGGTGCGGTCACATTAGCATCTCCTATGTAATTGTTTCTCATTGATATGCTCCACCTATTAGTCACGTCAGTCATCCAAAAGTCTGGGAAGATAAACTATTGATTTCCGCCACTCATCGCCTTTATGAGGACAGCTGTTTTTTCTCCATGAATATTCAAATAAGCACGCATCCTGAATGCGCCCACTCTTCCCTCTTCCTCCTCCTCCGCCCACTCCACCTCCCCCCCTCCTCCCCACCCATCCACTGAATCTACGAGGGACTGTGTCATTCTCTCTCCCTCGCCCCCCTGAACAGAGCTAAAAATAGCCCAGCGTGATGACAACAGCGAGGGAAACAGGCAGGGAGGAAGGCGAGGAAGGCTTTCGCGGAGCGGAGACTGTGTGAGGGGCAAAAGTGGGAAAGCTGTTCAACTTCAATGGCCAGTAGATGGACACAGAGCATTT